TAATGAAATTAAATAGGAAGTTCAGCGTCAATAATTGGTAAAATTGGATTATTAATACTAAAATATATGATAAAATTTATATTCTTTACGCATTTTTAGTTTTGTTGAATTATTTAATTATAGTTACCAAAATTAATTAAATTTAATACAATTAATGTATCACTGAATTATAACATAAAAAACTAAATATTTAAATATTCTGGAAATTTCAAAGCTCGATAGAAAATAAGAGAAAAATATTTTTAAAATTGAAATAAATAAATTTCTTATTTACAAATGTAATAAAAAGTAAAGTGATATAAATAAAACAGAAATTAAATAAAATTAAACAAAAATAATAATAAAATAAATTTTAAAAAAAATTAAAAAATAAATTACAAAAAAAAAAGAAAAATAAAATAGTTAAATTATATTTAATAAATAAAATTACTACTACTATTGTTTATTTCCCCAGTGGGGATTATGGCCCCAATAATTCTACTAAATCTGACACTATTTAGTGTTTCTTTCCAGATGTCGTTCAACGTATATCGTGCTTCAGTTAGCTCATTTTCTACCGTTAAATTATGAAATTATAAAAAACATAAATTAAAGAATATTTAACAAAAAATTCAAATAAAATGAAATATATTGAATAGAAATCAAGTACAATTTAAATAAAACATTTAAAAGTGAATAAAAATAAATAAAAAAATTAAAAAAACAAAATAATATAATAATAAATAAAAAATTAACAATCAAACAAATAAATTAAAAAATTGATTTAAAATACATTTTATTTTGTGTAAAATGTAATAAAATATAAAGAATTGAAAATAAAACAAAATATAAAAAATTTTAAAAACAAAAATAAAAATGTGATCAAAATAAATTTATTTTAAATAAATATGATTTTATTTTAATTTGAATTAAAAAGAAATAAATCAAAATTCAATAAATTAATAAGTTAAACGAAAACAAAATAAAATATAAATATAAAAATAAAAAAAAAATTAAGTTTATTAATTTTCACTGGGCTAAGGTCATAAAAATAATAAAAAGTGATTTTTTTTATTAATTTATGAATTTATAGATTCATTAATTTATGTTAAATATTTCTAATTATATTTTAATTTTTTTTATAAAAATATACAGATATTTTGGTCTACTTCATAGACTATCTTCAGTGTATTCGGTTATTAAGTCTAAGTTTACTAAGCTGAAAGTCAAAAATTATTCTTGTTATTGTAAAAAAGAATTATTATTGTAAATTGGTCGAAATAACAATTAATTATTAAAAAGAAATTATATAAATAATAATTTATACAAAAATAAATATAAAAATGATTATAAAAATAAATAAAAAGTAAATTACAAAAAAAAAACAAAAAAAATAAAAAGAAATATAAAAAAGAAAAAAAAAGAAAAAAAATTAAAATGAAAAAAATATAAAAAAAAATAAAAATAAGAACAAAAAAATAAAAATAAGAAAAATATTTAGTAATAAATGAAAATATGTAATATTAAGTAATAAAAATTATTATTAAAAAATAAATCAATGAAAATAATATAAAGAAATTGATATGAATAAAATAAAATTAATTCATTTTGAATAAAAAAAATAAAATGAATAAAATAAAGTTTAACAAAAGCAAGTGACTGCAAAAAATGTACCAAGATAGCTAAATCTATGCTAATACGACAATGTTGTTGTCGTATAGCAGTGCCAAGATAAATGAAATCCTATTCTGTACAATTATAAAGTGTCGTCGTTTGCTTGCTAAATTGGGATTTGTTATATTGAATGACTACTGTTAATTCTATTTTACGGGATAATACTTGCTTAATGCGACATTTTTATGTTACATTACATATGTAATGTAGTATATATTGAACTAATGTTATAGATTAGATATATTACTACAGGAAGATACATAATATCCGTAACCTTTACACAAAAATGTGTAAAACACGTATAATAGGTTTGTAAGACATTAAAAGAAACGAGTTAAGGTAATTTTGTCCTGGCGAACTACATAACTTTGGATTATATCGGTTCAGATTTAGACATAGTACCGGTTTTTGTTAATAAACCTGCTTTATTTTTTAATGTATGCACTTCAAATTTAACACAATGGGCCAATATGTCGTAATGGTTCTTTATGATCTGCGGTATAATCTAAATTCAATTTTCAAATAAAGTGGTACAGTTGCGAGATGATCGGTTTTTCTAAAAGAACATGGGACCATTTGATTCAACTTGTCTGGAATCTGCTCAGTTTGGTAGACCTAAACGGTGGATTGCTGTTTTGTTTTGATGAAATTTTATAATTCCATTTTTTCTTAGAGACTTAATTTAGATTCAATGTAAGCAATACAATAAACGCGAGTAGATTAAAACGTTGTAATGACATTTATGGTAGAAAGGATAAAACTTTGAAACAAAATTTTATCAGAATTTATTTATTAATACATAGGATTGCCTAGGCACAATACTTAAAGTTCAGTTTACATTTAATGTATATTATCATATACGTCAGCTTTGAATTTTGATTTAAAAGACCTTAGCCAGATAATAAAGTAAGTGTTTTATTCCAAGCTGGATAACAGACTATGTCCTTAATCTTAATCTGGAAAGCAGACTAAGTCTTTTATCCTAAGCTAGACAACAGGCTAAGTCCTTTATGCTAAACTGAATAACAGACTTAGTCTCTTATTTTAAGCTGGATAACAGACTAACTCTTTTATCCTAAGCTAGACAACAGGCTAAGTCCTTTATGCTAAACTGAATAACAGACTTAGTCTCTTATTTTAAGCTGGATAACAGATTAACTCTTTTATCCTAAGATGGATAACACACTAAGTCTTTTATACTAAGCTAGATAACAGACTAAATCCTTTATCCTAAGCTGGATAACAAAGTCTTTCATCCTAAGCTATGAAATAGAGTGTCTTTTATCCTAAGCTAGAAAACAGAGTAAGTCTTTTATCTTAAGGTGTATAGCAGACTAAGTTTTTTATCCTAAGCTAGGTAACATACAAAGTCTTTTTTCCTAAGTTGTATAACAGACAAAGTCTTTTATCCAAAGCTATAAAATAAATTGTCTTATATCCTAAGCTAGAAAACAGACTAATTCTTTTATCTTAAGCTGGATAACAGACTAACTTTTTTATCCTAAGCTGCATAACGGATAAATCTTTTATCCAAAGCTGGATAACAGACTAAGTCTTCTATCTTAAGCTAGAAAACAGACTTAGTCTTTAATCCTAACCTAGAAAATAGACTAAGTCTTTTATGGTAAATTGGATAACAGAGTAAGTCTTTTATACTAAGCTAGAAAACAGATTAAATCTTTTATCCTAAGCTAGAAAACATACTAAGTTTTTTATGTTAAGTTGGATGACAGTCTGTCTTTTATCCTAAGCTAAAAAATTTATTAAGTCTTTTATCCTAAGGTGCATAACATATTAAGTCTTCTATCCAACTTTGGCTGAATAAAAATCAATTTTTTTAGATAGCCTTATATATATGTAAAGTACATTTAAGCTTCGCTAAAGCTAACATCTTTAATTACTTAAATAAATATTTTGTACGAAATAAGAGCAGGACATTTTGACTATCTGGGCAACTGCATAAAAAATAGAATGGACAGTTTGATAATATCAATTATTCTTTACGTATTAACATATGAATTATACCTGTAGAGGCATTATTATCTGTGCTGGCAAAATGAGTTCACTTGCGTCACAACTGAGAGAATTTGTTAATATAGTTAATTAGTTATCAGAAAAAAAAATAATTACATCGAAATCGCGAATATTTTATCCCTTTTAGCAGTTATTGTTGAACACATGGGCACTTGAAGACTTGAAGTTCTAACTGCCAACCGATCTATAAGCGTTCTACGTATAATCTGTTAAATAATTGGTCTTAAACCTAGAGTCATCTTAAATTTAATTATTTTTTTTAATAGTTTAATTGTGTAATAATTACATTTTAAAATTAAAAGGTTAATATGAAATTTATAACTTAATATTAAAAGGTTAATGTATAATTTATAGTTTTAATGAAGTTAATTTTATTTTTATTGTATTGTGATGTTCATTGTTTTTTTTATTTATAGTTAATTGTTTACAATTTTGTTTTTTAATTTTAAATGTAGAATTCCTTGTCGTACATCTATTTTTTTTTTTTGTTGTATTTTTCCTGTTGTAAGTTTTCCATTGACAGAATATTTTTTCTTACCATTAAAATATTTGTTTGATATTTGCGATTCAATTGCTCGTAGGTCCCAGAGACGCGATGACAGTCGGTCTATTCAATTTTAACTGCCGTAGTCTTATTGAAAAAATTAAAAATATTTGACTTTTTTTTTTGTTTTGTTTTTATTTTGTTTTCAATTATAAATAATTGAGTAGCTGAATTTTATTGCTTGTTTAACACCATTTACTGCGAACAATATTAACAAAATTGTTTTTTGTTGTTTATATTTGTCATTTTTTATATATGTTTATTGTTTATGAATGTAGCCACATAAGCATATTAACAATAAAAAAAAAAATAAAAAATTAATATATGAAAAATTCTGGTGATGCGGTCATCAATGAGCTTGCCTGCCCGACTGATTAAATTGATCACAAGAAGTCGCGTGCCTCGATGGTTCGCGTGATGCGTGACTTTAATAAAAACTGGTAGCGAAGCAATTAAGAAACTTGAAAATAATTTATTTTGTATCTGTTTTTATCCACATATAATATTTTTTTATATGTAAAATATGCCAAAATACATTTCCATTTACATATTTTTAAATTATTGATATTATTAAATAAATATGCTCACATGTCATTTACTAATTTTCTGTTAGCGAAAATATTTTTTTTCTTATGAAATTATTTTTTAATTTTAATTTTATGTCAATTTAAAAATATTTTTAATATATGATAACTAATAGCTATTATTATTACAATCAATTAACTATGTCTTTTTTTTTTAATAAATTTATTTTTATTTTTATTTCCAGTTATTTTTAACACATCACCAAATCACATCCGAATGTCGAACTTGCTGAGCAACGTACTGTGGAAACTGCTACACAAGACATAATTATTAAATAATAATAGCAAAAAATTGCTATAGATAAAAAAAATTGTAAAAAATATATATAGAAATTGAAATAAAAATCGGTGCTAATAATTTTTAAGCCACAACATGAGTCATCCGCATGACAATAAGCGAAAGCTCTCATTTCTTGGGTTTAATACCCAAAGAAAGGTAAGACAAATTGAATTTTATTTAATTCATAAATTTTGTTTTTATACAATTTTTTATTTAAACCAAAAATTGTTGTGATTTAACGTTACATTTTACAGACGGATATCACTATTATAGTTAATAGAAACTTAGAGGTTCATAAAAAGGTTTTTCGAAGAGTAGTGAACTACAACAACAAAAATTCATCCAAAAATTCAATTAATTAAAATAATATAAAATGAATTTTTGTTGTTGTATTTCTTTACTATTCAAAAAATCTCCTTATAAAATATTTAATATATAATTTCCTTTTAAGGTCTTTAAAGTCCATAAAAGTACACATATGTTTTGTTATTATTCGTATTTTGAAGTTCGTTGACTTCAAATATTTGTATTACACAATATTTTTATTTATTTATTTATTTTTTTATTTGTATTTTTTTATTATTTTTTTTTTTTTGTGTTATATTTCAAGACTTTCTTTTTTCGGCTAGTAACAATTTTGTTGGCAAATTTTTTTGTAGAAATTACATTTTTGCTCGCTCATGTGTGATTACTGATTGATTATGCACAACTTTTACTTGTACTTCAAGTCACAAAAGATATTAAATTAAAAACAAGTTTATACTTTTCTTTTTGTTTAGATACTTTTAACCCAAAAGTGTGTTTGCTTTAAGTAACTCTTCCAATATACCTTCGTTAAGTATAATTACTTTTAGACATTTTTATATTTATTATTGTTAAATGCATGTTGAAGGTATATAGTGGTAGGTCTTCTATAAAATTCGGGAAGAAAACAAAATCATCTTATTTATTTTTCAATTTAATTTTAAATAGTTTAAATCTGCTTAATCTGCTAAAACATTAATTGCAAATTGAATAAAAATTATAGAATAAAGTATAAACTATTAATAAGAGATTGAAAATGTGTGATTTAAGCTATTATTACATCTGCTTCTCTTATTATTACAACGTCTTTTATATGAGCGACTTTGAACAACTAAGTTTTTTTAGAAGTTTATGCTGGAATCTCGTCATACAGATAAAATTCGTCCTTTATATTCAATAACCAATTTAAAGAACGTTCACTTTAACCAACTATAAGATTCTGTCATTGACTAGTCATCTGTAAAGAAAAATTTCGAATATGAAATAGAATCTCCTACGAAAATAACACCTAAAATATACTATAAATTTGTCCCACAATAGGCTAATGAAGTGGACTAATGTACATTACACCATTTTCATGTTTTTATACGACTTACAAGAAGAAGCACACAAATATCAATTTGTCAATTTAATTTTTTTTTTAATAATAATTTAATATAATATTTTTTTTAATAATAATTTAATATAATAATAATTTAATATAATAATAATTTAATATAATAATTTATTCAATAATAATTTAATATAATAATTTATTTAATAATAATTTAATATAGTAATTAAATATAATAATTTAATACTATTAAATAATATTTAATACAATTCCTTTTTTAATATTCATTCATAGGACATTATATTTTCATATTACTCAATATATTTCATATCTGGTAAATTCAAAATATATTATTTATTACAACTTTTAGTGAAATTGATCAAGTTATTTGTCATTTTCGTTTTCAATTCTTTAAACTGTCATAAAATATAATTTCAGCATTCATCGTTAATATAGATCAGTCCTATATAGATTAAGTTACATATAGTAGCTACCTATATTATGTATTGATAGTATCATAAGATTTGTAGGATTTTGCACCACCGTAACATCCAAGTCGATTTTATTGTATTTATTCCACAAAAAATCAATCATCACATTTCTATAGAGTTCTCCATTAACTGCAACTATAATGTCTGTTTTATTTCAAAATAAATTACATCTGTATATAGTGTCGTATCCAGGGGGGAGTGACTATACGATAAATCCCTCTTTGATAATTAAAACTATACAATTCTCATAATGTTCATTGAGTATATTGTATATATATAATAAACGTACATAATTTAAAATACAACTTTTATAATTTAGTATTAATAATAAGTTTAGTATAAGCAACTCTAAAACATTTTTAACAGAATATAAATATAATAAAACCAAATTCTAATTATTTTCTTAGTTCAATAAATTTTTGTGTGTTTTGAAATATAAATCCTTATGAGAAATATTGCATATGGCGAATTTTTATACATTTTCTTAGTTTTTTATTTATTTAATATTTGGCCCAAATATTTTAAATACATTGCAGATAGTGAGATCTATAGGTCGCTCAAAGTTAATTTAAATTTTACTTGATGGACAAAACTAGAATAACACGAATAGATTTATTATTTTTGTAATAAAATTTATAATTTCTATATGCTGTGCTGTGCACCTTTACTAAAAATTTTTGTCTAAAAATTATATATTTACTTATTGAGTTGTCCACTACAGTCGTGAGTCATCTTTAGTCGCGCCGAGTAGCCTATGCTAGCCAGTCCGATAGTGACATGCTATCGCTACTTGGTAGCACCAAGTGCCCACAAATCGTTGATCATTTGGCGTGTCTACTAAAGATGCGGACTTTTTGTACTACGTTTCATCATTTGCGAGTACCAAATCAACAGCCTTTCTAGTCGGAATGCTTTCTTCTATTCACACGATTTGATTAAGCTAGTAAAGACGCTGAATTTGTATGCGCTTAACTATACCAATGATCTTCCGAAAACGAAGGCATGTTCCTAGTGCCTTTTCATCACTGTTGGTAATTGTCCTAGCTTCTGTACCATACTGAAGAACGGGCATGAAAAGAGCGTAATTTTTGTTTGTCTAGAGAGAGCGTTATTTCTAAATTGCTTACATAGCCCGAAGTAATATCTGTTAGCAAGAGTGATTCTTTGTTAAATCTCTATACTAATCCTTTTTTTTTTTTTTGGTTTTTACGCTGGTTCCCAAATAAACCAACAAAAAATTATCTACGAATACAAGTTGAAATACAAGATTTATTTTTAAGACCACTGATGATGGTTATTTGGCAATATTCGAAACAGCTGTATGGTCAGCCAAACATTCAATTTTATTATTAATACTTTTTATTATTTAATTTTTATAGATAATATTTTAATATTATAATTATATATTATATATTTTTATATATTATATTTATATTTATAAATTGTATATAATATATTATAAATATAATATTTAATATTATAAATTCTAAATTATATATTTATATAATTAATATGTTACTTATATTAATTGTTAATTGGATAATTTTTTTTTTTGAAGATAATATAAATAATTTTTTTTGAAACAACAAAAAAATATTCCAATAGACATTCTGCTATTTTGAATTTTGCAGTGAAACATGCGATAAAAATTTAATACTTTAACAGTCAACACCAAAAAAAGCTTTGCATAAGTATAAAGAAGGATAAAAAGCTCTCCGCAAATATTTTAAGCTGCGTTAATGCGAAAAAATACCTGCAACGCACACACTTCACAGGTGCATTAATTGCTGTGACGAGAGCTCTGATAATAAGAATAGAGACTAAGACAAACAAAAGAAAAAAGCAAAAAAAAAAAAAAATATATTAATAATGTGGCCATGAAAAAACAACACAACAACACATGAAAGCATGTAACACACACGTATGCAGGAGCGCAGCGCAACAGGAAATCAATATTCGTGGTCAAGGTTAACGTTTCACGCTGCACTTACTTACGAAATGACAACGACCAACTGTTGACGCTCATCGAGGCATAACAAATGACTGACTTGCTGCTTACTTTAGCTCACTTAGTTAGTGTGTCTGTCTGTTGAAAATAAAAAGAAGTGGAAAAAAAGCTAAGCTGACATGTACTGCAGCAGTCAAAGACATGTCAACGTTTTGTTAATATTCCTTCGGTGGGTGTACAAACGGGACGACGCGACATAATGAGAGAAACCAAAAACATATTTTATATGATGCAATTCTCAAAAGAGACTAGGGAAGTCCCATTGTTTTGTAGTTGCAATTATTATAATTGGGTTACTTTGCATATATTGTCATTTTTAAGCTTATTAGGTTAAAGTGGTTTTTTTTCTTTTTAATTTAATTTACGTTATCAGGAACAACACATCCAGAATGAATAGGTCTTATAAGCAAAAATAGTTATATATAATATATAAAGAGGTTTTTCGAAAAGTAATGAACTACAACAACAAAAAATCTTTTTATATTATTTTAATTAATTGAATTTTTTCTGACCGTGCAGCTGTTTCGAATATAGCCAAATACCCATCATCAGTGGTCTTGAAAAAAATTATTGTATTTAATTATTCGTAAATAATTTTTTGAGACTGCAAATACCAGGAATTGAACTCGCGCCCTGCCAAATTTGAAACTCAGAGTCAGCGCACCTTAACAAACTAACCCAAAGCAGTACTTGAGTTTTATGTTCGAAAATTTTTTGGAGTTTCGTTAATTTAGCTGTCAAAATTTTTATTAACAAATTTACTTGTTGTGTTTATATTGGAACGAAATCATAAACCAACTGTGGAATAATTAAATTAATTAATTAATTATATTTATATTTATATTTATTTATTTATATTTATTTTTAATAGTTAAATTTGAATACTATTCTGTTTGTATAGGCATTATTTGTCGCATGATTTATATATTCTTTCTTATGTATAGAACCTGATCTAGGAACGTAATACTGAGAAAGTCATGCTCACGTATTATAATGTTTATATATCTACAATTTTTGATTTCAGTCGAGAGTGCAAATTATATATCAACTGCATTTGCTTTTATTTATCTATACAATCATTAATGTTTTTAGCACACATCAGAAAGCTGCAAACAGTCAATAACATCATATCTTCCATTTATTTTATTAATTTTCCATAACTCCTTTACCATTAAAGCAATTAATGACTAAACGAGTGTAGTCGGTGTTTAATGAAACGATTCGTAGCCTTGACATTCACTGCTAAGTAACTGTAAATATGAGTATATCTTCAATACACTTCAATCCTCATATCTTAAAT